CAAGATGCCCTGGCAACACTACTGGTTCCTTGCCAGTTCTGGTTCCAAGTTAAAATTAGGCAGGCCTCTGACACTTGGCAGGGAAAGTTTGGGTCTTCTTACGGCTCCCAGGCAGAACACTTGTCTACTGAGGACAGGTCGCTGACAGAAAAGTGCTTTGAAAGCTGTGAGGAATTCCAGCGATTCGGTTATCGCAAAAAGAAAACACCCCAATATGTTTGTGGGAAAGGAAAGTTTTCTAAAGTGGTGCCAAGGTAATCTCTGGTCAGACCCAGCTTGATACAGGTCTATTCACAGGGTACTTCTGATAAGATTAACAGTCTGATAGTCCTGGGAAAGAAGGGGGAATGTACCTGCCTAAGGCCACTCCAGGTTATGTACTTGGTTCTCAGATATTTCTTCAACTAAGCTTCAGCAAGAGGTCAATGTGAAAACAGAAGGCTGGAAGGAAAACCTTAGTCTATATTCACTCCCAAAAACTTTCTGTACTACAGTACAAACTTCTCCCTCTGACTCTGTTTCCATGTTTATCTTCCAGTTCAGTGTTATCTTAATTTTAGACCTGATAAACCAAGAATTCAAATTGGCATTAACTAAAACTGAAAGTGTGTTGTTGTTGTTATTATGGTTCTGTTACAGGCTGAACATGTTTCTGATTAAACAGCAGGACACAAACCAGTAACATCAACAAACACTCAGACTTACTGTCAGCGACCTGTCCTCAGTAGTCACCTAGAGAGGTGGACAGGCTTGAATGAACTGGATCGGTTGAGCTACACTCCCACTGGTAATGACAGGGGAGACAGATGCTATGTACTGCAGTTACTGGGTCATTGTACCAAGGAAATTCCCCTAGCTCAATTTGACAAGTACTGTGAACAGTAGACTACTGCTTAACATCCTGTTCTATAAGGACTGCAACCCTTTCCAGTTATGTGCAAGTTAGGCAAGCCACAGCAGACAGGATTCAAACTCATGATTTCTTTGTCCAGAGGCATGATCACTAAGCACTGGGTTACACACACTTACTTTTGAACTAGTGTATTACTATATACATGTGCTTATACTATAGCTTATACTACATCTCCAGTTTACATGAGTTCATACAACTGGTTTGTTGCTTCATCCCATGCTTAAGTTCAGACACAACCATGTTGTAAAGTAAACTTTAAAAAAGAATTTGATCAATGTTTCCTTTTCGACTTGAGAAAGCATATACCCATCTCTTTGCCTTTATTTTCAGGCCCGAGTCCAAGAGGTGACCAGAAGACTGCCAACAAAATGTCTGCGGTGAATAAGAAACAATCTGTATGTATGACAACAGCTTAGGGAGTTCACAAAGTAGACTAAGAAAACCATGAGATGAATGTTGTATATATTTCTAATTTGTTACATGCTGGTAGCATAAGCCAAAAACAATATTAATGTCTCATTCTCATAGGGTGAAGGAATAACAATAAATAAGGTACAGTCAAATCTGCCCAAGAAGACCACCCATAAGGAGACAGAATTCTCAATACTTGTGTCATTGGGGAAAATTATGCACCAAACTGGGCACCAAAAAGTGATAACATTATCCAGGTGGTCCTTATTTAGAAGTTTGACTGTATGTCTAATACAGAATAATGACCATGAAGCATGTGTAAATGTTACTGTACTTTGGGAACTTCCTTCACCCCTAAAGGATCAACTGGGAAACTTGCCAGTTGGATGTGAGAAAGCAGGTGAATCTTGTTGAAGTTTTGTCACTTGTGTTTGTAGCTGTTGTTAGTCTTTGGACAAGGTAGTGTATGAATCCCATGTGGTGTATGTATGTTATATTAGCACGATGCAAGAAGACAGGAGCAATAGATTCTTTCATTATCCTATTCAGGATCCTTCTCAGACTTAAGAACTACTGTAACATGGAAAATTATAGGAAACAGAAAAGCACATACAATAGTACTAACGAAACCTCCTGCACCTTTAAAACCAGACTGGGAAAATTTCCAGTTCAACATTGAAAACAGGTGGGAGTTGCAGAGTTGAGGTTCTGTCACTTGTGTTTGTGTCCTTCTGTCAGCCGTTTGGAGTGTTCTCAACAGGACGTCACATCAGGCTATCCACAGACGTCACAATCACTACCAGGCAAACCTCCTGACCCACAAAGAAGCTGTTTTTGATAAGAACAGTGCTTTCTCTAAACTGTAACAGATACACTTCGCCATCATACTTCTGCTTCCTCCAATGTACTGCAGTTTGAACAGATGTATGGCACTTGTCAGTTTCCAACAACCTACACATATACTTGGCAACAACAAAGTTATGAGTTGATCCTCAGGTTCAAGGGAATACAGTATGGATTCAAGTTTTCTCACAGCCGTCTATTTTCATGTTGTCCTTTTTTACACTGAAATATCTGAAAAGCAGGGAAATGTCACAGTGATATATATTCTGTCTCTACCTGGTGCAGACCCAGAGCACCTTACTGATGGCTGCCAAGAAGCCCAGAAAGCAGGAGCCTGAGAAGCAGCCCAAGGCGTCTTCAGAGGGCCAGGAAGAAAACAAGAAGTCAGTAGGATTCATTGGTTTCCATTTCTGACTGCAAAGATTGTTTAGGGGTCCAACCTGTTTTGTACTGCATTTGTTTGTATGTTTAGGCCTGTGTTTACTTCATGTATTGTTTGTTTGTTTGTTTGTTTAGGGTAGTGAAAGGGTTTGACCTGTGGTTTGAGCAGGAGCGGGCAGTGCTGCAGGAGGAGAACACGGAGGAGAGCGAGGCCGGACTGTTCCAGCTGGCCATCCGGGGCTGGAGAAAACTGGACAAGCAGGACCAGAAGGTCGGATTTGTTCCATCTCAGGTTGTAAAGGAATATTGCTGAACTAGAAATGAACACAAAACCAGTGTACAAAAATGCCACAAAAAATCTCTTTTTTTCTCTCCAAACATAAATAAATTTACAGTACTCAGTCATGAAGTGGTGGAGGGCCAGAATGTAACACCAGCTCGTGGCAAAACTTAGTGAAAGAATCCTGAAGATGTGAACCATTCTCCCCCCAGGCTGTTGGCACCACTCTTAGCAACAAGTCTCCTACAAACAGCCTGACTGTCTCCCCCAGGCTAGTTTTCTTTATTTCAGGCCAACAAGGAACAAAATTAGCCCAAATTTCTGGGAAGGACAGTCTGGAAATAAGACATAACATCCGCATATAGAACACAAGTATATTTTGATTTCTCTAACAAGCGATAACTTGGACTGAATTGCCCAAACTTGTCCATGAAACAGGGCTTCCTGTTGTGTCAGTCCGTCGGGTGAGATTTCTGTTTCATCAAACGTTATTGTCCTTTCCACTACATGGAGTCTATGATTCAAAATTGGGAAGGACAAAGTCAAGGGCAGACGTCACACCCAAGGTTGCCACAACATGACAGCCAGTCTGCAAGCTTTAGAAACAGTAATTTGACATCACAAGGATACAGATGTGATGTATACTGTAGTGTAGTTGAGACAAGTCTGCAAGCTTTTGGAAAAAAAAATTGTACTTGCATGTTATGTTTGTCTACAAGTTGTAACCACAAGGAAAAGGGAAGAGCATCTTTAGAGCCCAGCGTATGAAATGATTAAACCACAAACTGATAAAAGGCAGTGTAGTTTGCTGGGGTCATAGGTGAGGTCCATTGATGTGGGTGACCTCTGGCAGTTTACTTGACCTTGTGATCTTGACCTTAATCCCTCCTACAGGACGATACTGTATTTCCTGTTTCCGTCAGACAAAACACTTGTCACCTTGACTTTAGAGGGACACCAGGGCATTAGTAAGTCTGATACCTATAGGTTATTTTCTCAACATACAGTAACTTTTACATACCCTTTGAAAGAGATCAAACCAAGTAGTTTGCTTTTTTAGCAATATGGAGTCAGTATTTCTGCCATACCTTTTAATAGTTACAGTTACAGTTTAACAGTTGATGTATCTGATTATACCAGATTTTCCCAGTATCTTTTGAAGTTCAATTTCAAAGTGACAACATTTTACTCATAATGTTCTGACAATACTAAACTAGACTTAAGGAAAATCTGGAAGATTTGACATTCTTGGTACTGCTGACACTAGGAACAGGTGCTTAAGAACTCAGCTGCCTTGTCTTTAAAAGACACTTCAACCTCCTTAATGACAAACCAAGAACAGGTGGAGACCTCCCTCTCCTCCCCAGG